AACCCAACTGAGGTGTTTAAAAGGAAATTGAAAGGACGCGCCTACCGGCCACAGTTCAGAAATTTCCCTTTCGCGTTCTGGGCTGAGACTCAGAGGTTCCTAACTCAACAGTTATTTTTAAGTCGCTGTTTTGGGCTGACCATCTTTTAAAGGGCAAGTTTCAGTTTCAAACCGTGCACCACATTATTCAGCTAACTTAGACAGAAATGGTTCCCCAGAATGTTCACATAGCATTGATGCAGCTGAAAGTGATAGGCCCGCTCGAGGTGATGCGGTCGCTGCTAACCGGCCCTGCTCACACGCTGACACTCACCGGCCTCAGCACTCTGCGCACCGCCTGGAGGATGCGCTCCTGGCTCTCCGCGGAGCACAGGGCCAGGGTGCAGACCACCACGGCCAAGGAGCCATCGGCCACCGGGTGCGTGTTCTCCCCGGCGGCCACCACGAAGCGCTCAAACTGCACGTGTCGGTTCTCAGAGTGGGGAAGAAGCTATAAAGGGAAAGACTGGTAAATCTGAATACACAAAATTTCTGAAAGCTCAAGCATTCAGAAATATTTTCAAACAGCCTTCTACTTTTAACAAGAAAAGCCCCAGCTTTAGGCTGGTTGGGGACCACAGCAGTTTTTAAAAATAATGATTACATTATTTTTTAAAAAAAACTGGGCGATGGATACAGAGAATGTGCTATTATTTCATTATTTGTTATTCCCTACATGTATTTTATAAACTTCATATCTTCCGTTTTTAGAATTTATTGGTGTGAGAAAGATTTGTTCTTCATTTATTTATGTGCTCACTGATTGATTCTTGTATTTGCCCTGACTGGGAATCAAACCCACAGCCTTGGCATATCAGGACAATGCTCTAACCAACTGAGCTGCCTGACCAGAGCTATCTGGTCCTTTTTGTTGTTGTTGTTAAATATAGTTTTATTGATTTCAGAGAGGAAGGGAGAGGGAGAGAGAAAAACATCAACGATATGAGAGAATCATTTATCAGCTGCCTCCTGCAGGCCCCACACTGGGGGTCATGCCTGCAACCTGGACATGTGTCCTGACCTGGAATCCAACCATGACCTCCTGGTTCACCAGGTTCACAGGTGGAAGCTCAACCACTGAACCACACCAGCCGTGCTCCATTCCATTTTTAACAGCTTTTCCGAGGTGGAATGACATACAATAAATTGTACTGCATATTTAGACTCATAGATACAGAGAACAGACTGATGATTGCCAGAGGGAAGAGGGTTTAGGGAGCTGGGTGAAAAGGTGAGGGACTAAGAAGGACAAGTTGGTGGTTTCAGAATAGTCACGGGGATGTGAAGTAAAGCAGAGGGGATATAGTCAATACTGCTTAACTGTGTTTAACGACAGCTTAATAAGTTTTGACATTCTGTGTATACACCCGTGAAACCATCACTTCAGTCATGCCATCCCCTCCTCTTGCCCTCCCCATCCCAAGGCTACCACTGATCTGTCTTCTATACCTAGAGATTAGTTTGCATTTCTTAGACTTTTATGTAAATGGAACCACAGACTATGTGCTCTTTTTTTTCTTTCTTTTTTTTTATAGGTGGGTTTTGTTTTTTTTTAAGACAACAGAAATTTATTGCATCACAGTCCTATATCAAGGTATCAGAAGGGCCACCACCCTCTGAGACTCTGGGTAGAATTCTTTCTTCCTTGCATCTTCCTTCTCCTCTCTTGTGAATCTATTGTAGGTTTTTTGCTGACAATAACTTCCCTTTTATTACCTCCCCTTTATGTTGTTATTTTTCTTCTGGAAATACACAGACATTTTTAATAGAAGCAAAATGGGGCAACTGCGTCACAGCCAACAGGGATTGAGCTCAGGCGAGGCAGGGCCAGTGCTGTGCCCGGGTCATGGAAGCCACAGCAGCCTGGCGGCACGGAAGGGGGGGGCTGGCCGTGGGGGGCCTGCGAGGAGCCCAGGCTGCCAGCTTCATCCCTGGGGAGAAGCGGAGGCTCTGGCCCACCTGGTTCTGCAAAAACCTCAAGGGTGGGCACCTGGCGGCTCCAAGTGGCTCCTCAGTTAATTACTTAATCACACCCCGCGAGTAATCAATCAACCCAGGAGTATTTAATGATACCACTCGAGCTGAGTGAGCCTGCGAGCTGGCACAGTTCACCAGGAGGCCTCCCAATTCAGCCCCCTTTTAAGGAGTTCTAACTCAAGGTAAGCAGAGCTCACTGTGGACTTTTAGCTGGAGTCTGGGAAATGCTGCCCCTCTCAATCCACACACATCAGGGCAGCATTTCTAGGGGCTCGAAGGGTGGAAACTCCCCCCCCCCCCAAAAAAATGAAATTACCCCACAAACCAAATAAATAAATAAATTACAATAAAGAAAAAAGCTGGTCTCACTCCAGGAAACCTCCCTGCCCCCCAACCCAGGGCCCTGGCCTTGCCTGGGGACACTCCACATCTCTGAGCATCAGCCAGGCCCAGGACAGCAGGAGGGAGGACAGGTCACAGAGAGGAGATGCAGACCTGCTCTTAGAGACCCTGACAGAAGACAGACCCTGCTCTCCAGCCAACGAGGGGCGAGATGATTGGGGCAGAAAGGCTACGGCCAGGAAACGGCCCGCTGCATCTCTGCCAGGGCACGGGGCCAGACACTTGGAACCTGGAGCCTCCGCTGGCCTTCCTTCCCCCTGGCTGCCGGGCCCAAGGGGCGGGAGGAGAGGGAGACGGTGAGAGCAGGTCAGAGTAAGGCAGCAGCTCGGGGGCCACCTGCCCAGGGTTGCTGTCAAGCTGGCCGTGCACCGCTCCAGGGCAGCTGGCAGAGGGAGCGAACTGATGTCCAGTCCACACCCCACTAGCCAAGCCACACGCCCTGGCCCAGGGCCACATCTGCCCAGAGGAAGGGACGCACTTTCTAATTCTCACAAAGGTGCCACACGGGCTAGAAGTCGGTCCCAGATGGGGCGGGGTTAGAACCAGGCGGAGCCCCAATTTAGTCCCTCAGCATGAAGGGAAGAGCTGAGCACAGAGAAGGGAAAGGCAGACAAAGTGCAGACTCCTCCCCTCCCCTCCGCGGGGCGATCTGCTTCTGCCCTCCTTTTCCCCCCAAACCTGTATGTACCCCTCTCCTCCCCAAACTTTCAGGGACCTCAGTTTCCCAAGTTTAATGGAGAAGGGAAGAGAGTTTCCAAAATGAGGAAGAAGAGAAGGGCCCCGTGGCTTGCCCCTCAGCTGGCGCTGGGCTGCAGTCCGAGGAGGTGGCGCGAGGGGTGGGCGCGCCGGGCTAGGAGCTCCAGGTACGTCTTGATGATGTCCTTGACGGGGCGGCGGCAGATGGGGCAGCAGGCGTGCAGAGCCTTCTTGAGGCGCAGGCCACAGGCATAGCAGAGGCACATGTGGCCACATGTGTAGATGACCGTGTCCACTGCGTGCTCATAGCAAATGGTGCACTCATCACTCCACTGGCCCGTGCCTGGGGTCACTGGCGACTCGGGCAAGCTCACCGGCGAGTTGGGGGCTGTCCCGCCAGCAGAGCTCCCCAGAGGTCCCGAGCTGCAGGTGCTGAGCAAGGGGTCAGAGAGGCGGCTGCCCAGGGCACTGGGCGAGGTTGGTGTGGAGGCGGGGGAGCAGGGAAGTGATGGGATGCCCCGCTCTGCCAGGATGGTGGAGCCGAGGAGGCGGATCTGCCCGATGGCTCCATGCAGACTGAAGAGCATCCACAGGGGCTGCGAGGCGTCCACGCACAGCTGCATGCCCGCGGCGGCGCCATTGTGGCTCAGGTGCAGCTCGCTCTCGTCGTTGACCACCAGGCCGAGGATGTCGCCACTCTGCAGGGGCTCGAGCACGCGGCCCACTGCCCAGAACTCCTTGCGGTCCGCCAGGGCCTCCGTGCTGAAGGGCAGGTCCGCAGGCCGCAGCGTGCCGGGGTCTCACGTGGTGACGCCAAAGGAGAGCGCGCGACCTTGACGAAGACGGTCTCGGCCACGCACACTGGCCGGCTGGTGAAGACGAGCTCGCTGGCCTGCGAGCGAGCCTTACTTTATCTCTATTGTTATGTGTGTTTTAGAGGATCACTTTAAGTTGACTGTTTGGTTCTTATGAGCCTCATGAACTTGGATGTCCAAATCTCTCCCCTGACTTGGGGAGTTCCCAGTTAATATCTATATATATAAAAGGCTAATATGCAAAGTGTCCCCTCAGGAGTTTGACCAAGAGACCAGGAGTTCGATCGCTTGCTATGACGTGTGCTGACCACCAGGGGGTGGCGCAGAGCAAAGGAAGCCCTGGCCAGCAGCAGGAAGGCCCCAATTGGCCCTGATTGCCAGCCAGACCTAGGGACCCTACCCATGCACAAATTTTGTGCACTGGGCCTCTAGTTTATTTAAATAAGTGTCTGCCCCTTTCTTTCTCTCTTCGCCTTCTGAACCTGCAACAGTTTGCAAATTGTTCTTTTTGTTAGTATTCCATAGATCACACAGGCTTTCTTTTTTCTTTGTTCTCTTCCAACTGGAATATTTCAAAATTTCTGTCTTCTAACTCACAGATGCTTTTTTTCTGCTGGATCCATTTTGTTAATGCTCTCTATTGCCACTTTTTAAAAAAAATTTATTCATAGTGTTCTTAGGCTCCGGAATTTTTCTTTGATTCTTTTTTATGATTTCTATCTTTGTTAAACTACTCATT